ACCAGTGGATCACAGGCTGCGAACATTTAAATAAATTGTTTTGTTGGTCTTGTATGCTATTTGTTTGTTAAGAAAGACAAAACTCAGAAGTAGGGGGAATACGTTACAGTTTGAATTCTGTTTTGATCAAATTGTGAACACCTTGCCAAAAAGCTGACGCCTCGCTACTGCTCTATATATACTATTCTTTAAATTATGAACACTAACAGTTAAATGAAAAGAACTGCTTGTTTTATCATTATATGACGAAAATTGTAATGATAGTTAAAAGTATCTAAATTTTTTTTTCTTAAAGAATCATGCCCGGATCGTCAAGAAGTATATTTTCTTAACATTATGTATTGCTATTATGCAATTAAAATTATTGACTCGTTTTCTAAAAATGAGTACCAGAGTACCATTACCGTAACAACCGTGTTTGGAAATAATTAAAGTAGCGAACATCACTACGTCGTATACATGATATAGTGTTTTTAAAGCTATATGCTATTAAATTTTTTTAGCAATTGTGTGTGGGGCACTACTACCGGCTATCGGCTACTTTACATTCGCATCACATCTGGAGGTCAACTTTAGTCAAACAAAAGTAAATTACAAAATAAGAGCGAAAGGTAAATAAAATAGAACATTTTTTACGTTGTATTATTGTTTCGCATATATTATTTGAACCTAAAATAATATTTACATTTTATATTAATAAATAAATACTTTAAACACGGTAACGCGCCAGTACGCACATTTCCTGGGTGGTGCGGAGAATGCTAAAATGTTTTGTTTATTTCTTTATAGTACTTTAAGAAAAAATTGTGTATATAGCCGACCGATAATGTGCAAGGATACTGACCCTCACTCTTCATAATATTTTCATTAACTGTTCCATATAGAGTTTCCTGTACTTCATATGCACAAAACATCGAAACTTTTTATTAAAAACAAAACTTCTATTTGAACGTGTAAAATTGTGTATATATTTATAAATAAAAAAAATCATTAAATTAGGGGTACTGATCTAAACTGATAAATGCGTTATAAACTTTATAAATGTATAAATTTATTTTCTTGGTAAATAAAGTGTGAAATTTTGTATGAAAAATTGTTTACACAAACTTGATAAATGCACACGAAAATTTTACCGAATAAATTTATATCGTATAAATTTATATGTTGTCAATACAGAGTTGCATTCCAACACAATCAAATAATTTATAAAAATATTTTTCTGAATACTTTAAAGTTTAAAGATTTATTGATATCGATATAGCTGCTCAATAAAGTTTTCACAAATATTTAAAATTCCATCGAGGTTGGTTAAAAAATTGCGCTGCTGAGCATTGCATTTTGTGCTGTTATAATTATTGCTGATACAAATAGTGTTATTATACAGCAGATAGATAAATTTACACATACATTTTACTAAGTGAGTTCAGATAACCGTGTTCGTGAACATATAAAATTATACATTTGATAAATTTATATGCTTAGATGCGTACCCCTATTAATTTAATATATTACTTGAAATACATACACATATATATTAGATGGTATATTTTTTGGGGATATCACAAAAGTGTATAATTAATACTATATATGACAACAAGCTAAATTAATTACAGCGTTCATTTTAGCGTTGTTACATTTGTTTTTACCAATAACATTAACAAAAATTGTCAAAACTTAAAATTTGAATAAATCAGGTCAAGTGCGGTGGCTTAGTGAGTTTAGGTTTCAAATTTGACAGGTTTTAAGTCTTCGCACTTGCTGTCCGCAAATTATAAGCAGCCAAATAAACCAATGGCTTCTTTGAAAGACTAATGATAATAGATATTGGGCGATATCCGAAGCAGCAGCAAGTCAGCGCAAACATTTATTGAACTCAGAATAAATTTTTGTAGTTTAAAATTTTTCTTCAAGAAGAACCCACGAAGCTGATTTTTTTGAGATATCAAACAATTCCATTCAATCCGTTTGGATTTGTGAGCAGAAGGTTTAGTTGTCCTTTGAAAGAGAAGATTTCTTTGAAAAAAGAATTATAAAGTATTGCTTTGCTTAATCAGATCTTGTTAGAATACAAATTAATATCAATTTATGTCGTACACAATTTAACAATGTTTTAATTTCTAAATGTTTCCAAAAGGTATTTCTCCTCAGAAGATAATTGTTTAGCTTAGTAGCCAATGATTACAGCATCCGTTTTTATATACTGCACACGGGTGAATGATTTGCTATGAGGATTTTATTAAACTCACAAATTTTGGGTAGTAGAAGTGCAAATACTCATACTCATACTATATATATATGTACGTGTGTGAAAGCAGTTTATAAACTTTGCCTTAAGCGTCTTCTGCATATGCGATGGATGTATTCCTTCTCTACACTAAAATATTCCATCACGGGAATGAAAAATGTAAAACTGCTGCAACTATGAAACTAATATTTTAAAGATTTCTCATGCATGGCTGTGTACCCGTATTTGTCTTGACAAGGGAAATATAGCTGGAAGGCTACTTACCCACTTAGCAAAGCTGTCACGTTGAGCATTTTGAAAAAACCATATAGCAACGAAAACCATATTTGAAATACAATATCGAAAGGATGAAAATTATTTTACTTCCAACGCCAAAAATTTATTAAATTTATTGCTGCATTTGCTGCATAAATGAAAGAACTACCATTAAGCGCACACATGGAGCGGGACTCGAATCAGTTCATAAAGTTAAATAATTATTGTTTTGATGTAATTAAAATAAAAATTAGATATTTTTCGTTAACTTTCTTTTTAATTTTTTCGGACGTTACATTAAATTTCTTTCAAGAAACATGAATTAGAAGCAAATTAATTAAAAAAATGTGTATTTTGACAGTAATTGTTGTGTTCTCTACATGAAAATCGATATCAATACATCAGGCAAAATAGGATTTCTATTTTTGTTCATAGGAGAATATAATTTTAATTACGAAGAAAACGCAAACTCAAAGGATACGATTTACTTTGTTAGTTTTTTTTTATAATTGGATAACAACGTTTGCGTCACAAAAAATATTCGGAATCTATGTTCGTGAGTCAAACGGAAATACGTTCGTTCACAGATGAATTAACTTACAGAATTATTAACGAAAGGAAACAAAACAGAAAGGAAATAATTTTTCTTTTGCTTTGGCTTTAATTTCTCATGCAGCGTTTTACCGGTACGAGTTTACAAAGAGTTTGCCTGATAAAGTTTCGGCATTTTCACTCCGACTGATGAAATAAAAGAATACTCATACGCACCGATAGGCATTGTTCAGCACAATTCAATGCATATGTCAACGAATTTGATTGAAAGGAGCGTAGGGTTGCTTTGTTCTGGCACCATTACCGCTCAAACAGAGTCGAAACAATGGCGACCGATAATACTGAAGACACACAGCATTAATTTTTTGTGAGAAATATTTCTCCTTCGTTCAAGCCAAGTCGTTGAAATTTTTGGCTACAATTGAAGTTTGCAATCTTGTGTGATTACCCCACTTTCCCGAACAATTGAAATAATTGAATGAAGTTTGTTTGTTTTCTGTTACCAATTTATCATACTGAAAAGCAAATGTGATTATAACCTTGCTGATTCACCTTAATTTTCATATTCAATTATTCGTATATATGTTTACGAGTATATTAATCATATACTCCTTCATTTTCAATTTGTACTAGAAATGATAAGATCTACCTTTTTAACTTGATTGAGGCATTCGCTAATTAGGGTCAGTTCCCGGTAGCGCCAAATTTGAAAGCTTCACAATTCGGAATGTCCATGTGTGATTTCCATACAAATAATATAGAATATACATAACTTATAAATAAACTAAGTTCTTAGTTAGAAAGACCCTTGTATATATTCATAGTCAAAAAGCATTATTAACTGTATTGAGCTGTATTGAAAGTTTATTGCCTCATTTGATCTTCATATGATTTGGTCGTTGATTAAACTAATTAACAACACCTGGGTACTATTCTTAAGCTCTATTAGCAATAATGAATTTTTTTAAATAAAATACACTACAATAGTGTACTGTTTATTTTCGTTGACGGTACATAATGATTTTTTTATATATATAATAATATAATGAAATTTAAAAATATAATTTTGTGTGTCAGAATAATCCAGTTAAGACATAGAGAGGGGTTATGGAGAAACCAAGCAGTTAATAGAGAGTAAAAGTGCTCAAGTGCACTGACACAACTAGCCTCAACATAATAATAATAAGTTAAAGAACTAAAAAATTAAGATTTAACTTTGTTTATAAAACCTAACTCTTATTTTGATTTTAACGTCAAAAATATTTTAGTCTATGTAATAAAATATTTGACATTTATCATTGAAATAATTTTTTAGTCAAAGAATATCAAAATTTTGTTCGTAGAGTTAAAAGAAAACTAAATTTAGGTGACATTTTCGGTCGATCAAAGTTCTTACAAAGGTAGAAATAATTGAACTAATCATTGTTTTTTCTAACACAATCTTTTCATTTGGTCAGTGTTTCATCATGTCTCACACAATTTTACTAATTCAACCACAATTACCTCCGGAGACCCGTACTTATAGCGTCTATGAAACCTTGGATGACTGTTTGATAAATGTGTGTGAAATTTATGAAGAGCACTTGAAGCGCCGTAGCCCAAATACACCAACCATCACTTACGATATCAACCAGTTATTCGAGTTTGTTGATCAGTTTATTGACATGAGTTGTTTTGTCTTTCAGGAGTCCACAAACTCTTACGTTTACCACAACAAGGAGTGGATTAAGGACAGAGTATATGCGCTTTTACGTCAGGCAGCCGTTTCCGTTAACTGAGCTTTCTAACAACAAGTAATTGTGTCGCTCCTAATAACGCCTTTGGATATAAAAATCGGAATGTATATTCTATTACCCGCTTATCTTGTAACAATTTAGTATTACTTTACTTATTAAACTACGGATTAATTGATTTAAAAATTATGATTTTGGCTAATAAATTATATGTACACCAGAAACTAAATTGATTTTTTATTTTACTTTTCCACATGGTTTCACATTTGGTATGAATCAAGCTGAGTATCAATCAAGCGTATGTACTAGAACAATCAAATTTTTTGGTTGTGTAATTAATTAACTTTAGTAAATAAAATAAAAAAGGTATTCAATCAAAATGAATAAATGTATTTAATTTCGAATAAATTTTAGTAAAGAAGTTATGAATACCAGAAATTTGTGATTTAAAAATATTCCTGTTTGGCAATGCCGTAATGTAAATTAATACACTGTTTACACCAATTGTCGAATTTGGTTAGATTTTCAAATAGACATTTCAAACTAAAAAATGTTCACACCGTAGGTGGTTGTATATGTCACTTTTTTTTTTTGTTTTTGTCATAGAGAATCAATCAAAGAGTATAATTTAGTTGGCTATTATATACTAAATATATTGCGTGTATTTTGATTTAAAATTTTCGTTATACTTTGCAGAAGCTTATAATATTTTGATGTGATAAAAATATGGAGTCCAGTAACTACAAAGAAAAAGAAATTTTGCAAGTTATTTTAAAATTTTAGATTCTCCATCGTGAAAATAATATTTCATGTTCACTTCATTTACTTCATTTTAACGATAATCTGCACATATTATGTATTTAAGAAACATTTAAATACATTAAACATTAACATATTTTTTACACTGATAAGACTAATGGTTAACTGCAAATGTGAAGTTAACGACATTTGCGGCTTTGGATCAGTTCGTTAAGGAGCGCTGACTCTGAGCTTCAAATTTGTCAGGGCACGAGTTCGATTTCTGGTACTTGCAATCTCTAAAAGTTACGAATAATTAAATACAAGAGGTTTTTCCAAGACCATTGATTATGGGTATTTAGCAATACTCGAAACAGTTGTATGGTCAGCAAAAAATGCAATTAAAATAATATTCAAAAAGAATTTTTGTTGTTGTAGTTCACTACTTTCTC